AACCGTCATAAATATGAGTCAATTGCCCAGCATCTGAATTTTGATTAACTTGACCATGGGGACGCTGCAGCAGTTGTAAGTGTGAAAAATGGTCATAAGTCCCTTTTTTCAGTGCCATCATAACTTCAAACGGTCACTAAATAAACTGTTGTAAGTCAGGGACTAACTGTATGACTATCTGGCCCCTTTTAAAAAAACTTGTTGTCATCACTAAAAAGAGGGGCAGGTATATAAACACTCTAGTGGCTATGATTATTTTCCAATACTGGAATTTAAGCTACATTGTAGTATATTATCTATTTAAGCACAGTTATGCTGTTTCAGCTATCCAATTCTCTAATTCCAAAATTATGAACATGAATTTTCTGGTTAAGACCATTTGTAAAACTCCCTCGGACTTATATAGTTAACAACAGAACCCAAGCAGACATTTTTGTTTTTATGGGGTTTTTTTATATGCACAGCTCTGGGAAACCACAAAAATTTATCCAGTCCTACAACAGACATTGCAAAGATGTAATTTGCATCTTCTGAGCTTTGAGATGAAGATAGCAACACATTTCTGGCACAAAGTGCAGTTATATTCTATACTAGTTCTCAAAATCTCTGAAATGACAGGATTTACAGACGTGCAAGAGAAAAGTGTTTAAAAAGGACAGAAAAAGCAACAATTGGCCAACTTACATATGTTCAAAAGATAAGACCGTAGAAAGTCACCTGGATTTGAAGAAATTATGACATAGAGCAAGCTATCTGTGTTTACAGGACTATCCTCGATTTGAAAGGCACACAAAGGTGTCACAATAATATTTTCTGGAGAAACTAGTACAGGGGTCCCCAATCTGTGGGCCACAGACCACCACCAGGTTCTGGCCTATTTGCAACCAGGCCACATGAGTGGTAAACCACTGCGCACCCAGGCATGCAGCTCTACTTGCACGAGTAGCGGGTGCCGGCGCTCGCAGCCCCACTAGAAACTGTGTGCGCGCGTGCATGTGCCCCTCACACAAAACCATCCCCTCTTCCTCCCCTCCCCCCTGCTCCAGGCCACCAACCCGGACAGGTTGGGGAACGCTGGATTAGTAGTCTTGAAATTCTGTTCAAGAATTTGAACAGAAAATAGTACAAGTAATTCTGTGCTAGCCCCACAGAGTACTCACTTACAAACTGACTGCCCTGGGACAATAGATCAGAAGGTAAAATATGTGCTGGGTTCATGTATTGCATTAAAACATGGCTTGCTTTAATCATGATTTGTGGAATAAGCAATACCAGCCTGGTTGAAATATGAACATACCAGAGTAGCTCGATTCACAGGTCATGCTAAGTCAAAAGCAAAGAAACCGTACGAAAATTTAGTGTCAAATATGAATCTAGCCACCTTCTTGTTTTTGCTATTTGGCCAGGGACGAAGAGCTGCTGGAAAGGTGCGAGCATCACTTCCCCGGATAAACACCAAGCAAAAGGAACAATAATCTGCTCCCCTTTGTCATCTGAACAAGGAACTGCTACAAGAAGTCGGCTCCCCCCTTCCCTGACAGAAAACAGATCCTGATTCAGTTACTAGTAACTATGGGAGTGCAGAAAAGATTGGAAGTAAACACAGGGTTTGCCAGAAGAAGGTAAGCCTGGATTTCATGTGGGATGTGGCGCTTTTTAAATAATAATAATATGCAATACTTTACACTGAAGTCTGGCAGTGTCTTGGCAGACAGGGAAGGATGCTTTCCCTTTGGCGGAGGGTATTATGGTATATTGCGGCTGTGAGAGAATTGGAACAGCTTCCAAGAGGAAAGATGGAACCTTTTATATTTTGGCTTTCTGTTTTTGTTAATCCCATAATTTATTAAATTTGCTGATAGCGGTTTAGGTGCAGGCCTAGAATCCAGGAAACTGTGAGTTCTAATCTCACCACAGGCATGAAAGCTGGGTGGGTAACTTTGGGTCAGCCACTTTCTCTCAGCCCAGCCCACCTCACAGGGTCGTTGTATAGGGGAAAACAGGAGCAGGAAGGACTATTGTGTATTCTCGTTGCCTTGAATTACTTATAAAGTAATAAAAGCAGGACAAAAATATAATAAATAAATAATAATATCCAATACCAGTTTGATACTAAATTTCATGAGCTGGAATTCAGGAAGCTCGTGGGAAGGCAAAAACAGGGGGATCTGGGGGCTACACACAGTCCACAATGTATCTTTTACCTTGGGAAACTAACCCCCTCCCCTGTTTTCTTTTTCTTCTATTCTTTTTCTTTTGCATTGTTTTCAATTTTTAAACTAAATACATCACATTAATAAGCGTATATTAAATGAAATGAAAACTGAATAGACAGCAAATCTTTTCAAAGACTGGGAAACTAAATGAATGGAAGACAGACACAGGTCTGTCTACTCTGTAAAAGCTCTTGTAATTAATGAGCTTCTGAATGTCCCAGATCACTCACGGAGCTAGTCCTCAGATTCCTGTTGTGCTAACTTATATATCTGACATTTCCAGGTAAGTCATTTAAGGATACAGAAACACACCACATTGTGTGCTGAGGACAGCTGGCAGTCTATGAGCAAACTTAATGCATATTTTTAATATTTATGTTAATGTTTACCACTTAACCACTATTGAAAACAATGAGGGGCAGTTTCATCTAATGATTAGACTGTTTAATTGTAACCAGGAATGCTTAGATTCCAGTTCTTCTTGACTTCATATTTCAATGAATGATTCCAGCATAGATATTATTTTTCAACCTAACCTTCCTCACTGGGTATTGTGAACACAGAGTACAGACTAGCACCATGTGCATCGCCTTGAGTTTCCTAAATAGTCGTTTTTCCACAGAAATTAATTTTTCTCCACTATCTTTTGGCCAAGACTTGAAACTAGAAAAGCACAGGTCAAACAACACAAAAATTATCCCTTCAATTCAACATTCCCCCAATATAAATTCTGGTTTCAAATGAAGAATGACTAGCTTTTAACCTTAGTAAACAGAACAGTTTATAGGTTGAAAAATTATGCAAGCCTCAAAATATTTAGGCCTGGTAGAAGCCTGACCTCTAGTGGACAAAGGTAACAGTAGTTCAGCTCAGTTTCTGATATCGTGTGTACAGTATATTTAAAATGTATTTTAGATTTAAAGATAATCTGATTTGCCAGCTATAAATAATGTACTGCTTATTTGACAAAGAAAAAAATGTAAACTAATAATAATAATAATAATAATAATAATAATAATAATAATAATAATAATAATAATAATAATAAAGGTAGACAAAATGCCAAATCCAGTCTGAACATCTGGCTGACTGTGCGATGATCCATAATAATAATAATAATAATAATAATAATAATAATAATAATAATGAAGTTGGAAGGGACCTTGGAGATCATCAAGACCAACCACTTGCTCAGGTGGACAAATGGCTGTCCAGTCATCGACTAACACAAAGAGAAAGTACTCAACAAAAGTTGGGCTCAAGATAATCTAATCTCACCGATATCCTGATATTTTCACCCAAAACTTTGTGCTTTCAAATGATACCTGCCAACACAGATAACACATGAGGGGGAGAGAGAAAGAGTGCTAAAATTCCAGCATACGATCAACTTTTTAAGGCTTTCCATTCCTCAAGAAGGCTCAGAATGTATATGACTGTTCATCTAGAACTGAAAATACAATAAACAATGAACTCTCTTCAGCAAGGCTGGTTCACCTACAGGCTGCTTTTGGTCTTCAGCCTCTTTTTTGTGACCTCCAGAAACTGATATGAGTCCCCAACTTACAACCAAACTGAGTCCGGAATTACAGCTGCGAATCATTGTTGTTAAAAGGGCACCACAGGTCACCATATGACCGGACCCGATTTTACAACATTTTATGCAGTGATTGTTAGCTGAATTAATTTTTCACAATGGGCATTTTTGCCAGAAAATGGAAGTAAAATGCTAGAAAACCAGGGAAACACTTTGAAAATCAGGATCCCATGACTGCGGGACACTGCAAACGGCCATAAAGAGAAGCCAGTTGCCAAGAGCCCAAAATGCGATCAAATGAACATGAATGTGGTACTATGGCTATCATAACTTCAACACTGGGTCAGAAGTACCTTTTGGGGAGGGGAATCCATTGCAACTTCAGTTATTGAGTAACCGGGTTTAAGTTGAGTCCTACCTGTATCATGGTTTTCTGTAATTTATACTGTTACTGTTATATTTCTAAAACTTCCTATAGGCTTAATTTTAACTATTCCAATTCCCTCAAAGGGAAGAAATTTTTATTTCTTGGAAGTGGGGACATTGTCTTATTGCTGCTATGCCCCTTGCAGTTCTTGATTCTTTAAAAGTTGTTTTAAAAAAGAGACACATTCCTCGAGCTGCAGAAAATTTTGCCAGCTCTGCTCTACGGTCTATCCACAGTACATATAGTCCTCGACTTACAACCATTTGTTTTGTGAACGTTCGAAGTTACAACGGCATTGAAAGAAACTGACTTACGACCTTTTTCACTTACAACTGTGGCAGCATCCCCGTGGTCACGTGATGAAAATTCGGACGCTTGGCATATGGCATGCCTTTATGGCAAATGCAGGGTCATGTGATCATTTTTGCAATCTTCTGACAGTGACTCACTTAGTAACTGTGGCAAGGTCGTAAAATACTATGAAATACCTTAATCCTGGTAACATTAAATATATGAATGTAAATTTAGAACTACAGTAAAATTTATAAATAAGAATAAGAAGTTATTATTCATAACTTCCAGGTGATACATTAAACTTAATTCCTAAACAGCCAGCTGTTAATCAATTTATGCAAACATTTAATTATCAGTCCAGTCTGGAGATGCAAGGCAGTTTGCCATAACTTTTAAATCAATAGATCAGAAAACCAAGCCCAGGGAGGCAGTCCAACAAAATTTCCCACAAATTAAAGTATAAAAAATACTAATAATTCCTGAACTTGAAAATAAGCATGCCATATTTTTTTTTTGAAAAAAATACCTTCAAAGAACAGGAACACTTGGACTTTTAAAGCACCAGAAATCTGGCTTCCAATCCTTTTTCCACCACAAATAGTGTACTTGGCTTTTGGCAAATCTGTAAAAAAAAAGATATATCAGGAATTAAATCTATAGATAATGAAAAGAAAAAAAATGTCTCTGTACAGGGAACCGTACCTCTTCTTGCATCAATAAAAGTGCTATAAAGACTTTTCTTTTTAAATATTTCTGGTTACTAATAATATGATAGTTTAATGGAAATACTTGATTTCCTTAAAGCGTTTACAGTAGAATATAATGTTCAATAAGCACAAAAGCAGGTGGACTGTTGGCTGAACTAATATACCCTGCTGTTCCATAATGCAATTTTTACATCAATTTTTTTTGTGAACTCAATACATCAGAATGTTTTCAATGGCATATTTGTTGACACATAAAAATGCAACTTTTGACAGTACACTGAATGTTCAACATGACTGTAAACCTTAGACTGCTTTTTTTTTCACTTTTTCTTCTAGAAAAATAAATCTTATATTAAAATAAATAGCCTGGAAGACAAAGCACCATTCAAACCTTTGGTTTGAAATTATTCTGTTTAAAATTTCTAGTGTCTGTCTTTACACACAAATAAATGGATATACATTTCATTGAGTTAAATGGGGGGTTACTGCCAATTCAGTCTGCTTTCTGCTTACAATAAAAGATTACTTTCAAACATATTTAATAGTGTTGAGATGATTGTTTTGACTTTTATTATAAAATTCTATCATGAACATGAAATTAAACCTAAATAACTTGCCAGGAGGCTAATACTGTTGTCTGTTTAAATAAAAACACAGATAGTTTTGTGACACCTCAAAAAAAGGAGTTTCTAGAAACAATTTTTCAAAGCATTCATTTCTATGAAAATGATCTAGAAAAATCTGATATAATAAAATCTTCAACCTCCAGCTCACATTCCCCAGGCTTTCAGCTTACATGGCATTGAGCAAAGAGCTCTCTTCCCTGCCCAGCCTACCTGCTCTCCTACTCCTGCTTTACTTTATCCTCACGTTTCTTCTCCATGGAGAATTGAGAAACAGAAAATGCCTGGGTAAAGTTGAAGCTGATTTTGCTGCAGTTCCTACCAGCCCATTACTAGGATTGCCTCTGGCTTTACCTTTCTATTTCTCCTTGCCGTGAAAAAGTGTGGTATGAGCAAAACCGCTAGGGCTACGAGGAGATGCTATCTGCACTTTCTCACTGGTGGATATGTGGCATGAGTCCCGGTTCCTGTGAGTCTGACTTGGCACCCAGTTTCCCTGACGAAAAAATTACATGCCTGTTGAAGCACTATTTCTCCATACAGGAGCTAGGAGGACACTGAAGAAGGCAGGGATTAATGAATGTCATTCTGCTTCAATAGGTCAACAGGAAGGTCTAGAATAGATCAAGCCACTCGCCCAAATCCATTTCCTTATACTTAACACTTTCTTGTCCCAATTCACACAGTTCAGTGAGCCAGAAAATAGTATGAATGAGAAGGTTTCTCAATGGTTATTGTTACTTTATTCAAAGCGGTAGAATAAGTTTGTTCAGTACAGTAAAAGAAAGTAGTAGTGAATGAAACACAAAAATAGTAATACTTTTAGGGGATGTGTGAGTATTTTCTCCCTCATATTTAATGAACACAACAGATGTTGATTTTGGTGGAAGAGAAAGCACTGTACAGGAGTGATGACATGTCAGCCGGATCCAAGGGAAGGTCAGATGCATATTGAAGTAGGCTTTCACATGCACATCTCATGCACAGCCAATGGATGCTGTGCCCAATCTATTCAGAGGTCTGGGACTCTACAGAAAATACCCTTTGGGAGGAGGCAGACGGGGCACATCAAGAGTCCATGCAATAAATAGTTCAATGGTGCCACTTTGGCATATCAGGCAGAATTCCATGAGCATAGCTGTGTTGGAGATATGTTGACTATTTAAATCAGGGGTGTTCAACCTTGACAACTTTAAGTCTTGGCTCTTTAACACTTACGTCCACAGATCTTAAAAGTTGCCATGGTTGGACACCCCCGATTTAAAGAAAGGAAAAACTAAGTTGTATTTAACATATCTGCAACCTTTTCACAAAAAAGTGAAAAAGGATCAAATGGTCCTTAATGTAAAGGGCTATTTCTGATCCCTAAACTGTGCTACTTTACTGATATGACATGTTTCCCTCCCAGTACTGTACTTACACAACCTACTAACCACCAGGAAGAAATGAAAATGGTTCATCATAAGCTTCAGTGGGGCCCAGTCTACTGGTAATGAGAATTTTAGCTAAACACCTGCTTCAAATTTAAAATATCCTACTACTCTATGAGTATTTGACCACAGCCTGACTCAAGTATTACAAGAGGAGGACAGGCAGAACCTGGGGGCAGAGTCAAGAGAGGAATCAGCCTGGAATTGTAAACATTCCCACAAGTGGTCCAAGTCCAGCATCTCTTGAATTCTGTTAACTTATCTAGTGCTAATTTAGTGCTGACAGTTAGCTGACCATTAGATTCTTCTGTATAGGCATGATCAATAAATCAGCTTAAGTAGAACTTAAGGTTGACTCAGCTTTCCATCCTTCCGAGGTCGATAAAATGAGGACCCAGATTGTTAGGGGCAATATGCTGACTCTGTAAACTGCTTAGAGAGGGCTTTAAAGCACTATGAAGCGGTATATAAGTCTAAGTACTATTGCTATTAATATGTGGTCTTTGCACATGACAGGTATTTTGCCCAACTCTATAGATAACATAATCAAGCCACTTAATTAGAATGGTTCGGGATTATGTGGAACATAAGAACAATCTGGGTTTAGGAAAAATAGCACAGACACACTATACAATAATGTATGTCTGTTAGTTTTATATCCCATCTTTCATTCAGGGATAGGAGTCTAAACATATGAATAAGATGCACAAAACCAACCTATACTTTACATTTGTCATTTTTAATCTCTAGATTGTAATTAAATTGGATTTCAGTCCATTTATATGATTCTCTTTTTAGTACTATTAAAATTACTCTAATGTGCCATGAATTTCATATGGAGAATTAAAGTGTTAGTTTGAGATACTAAAAAGATGAGAAGAAAGAGGAGCTGTTGCTAGGTAACAGAATATGTTTCATAAGCAGGAAACCTCTTTATCAAGGATATTTGGGTGAAACAAACTTGCCTAAGATTCTAGAGAAGTGAAGCAGTCTGCTCAGAGATAAACAATCTGTGGTTCTCAACCAGTGGTGGGATTCAGCCAGCTCGCACCAGTTCAGCACAACCGGTAGCTAATTTTTTGTGGCTCGGGCCCAGAATAGCCTTCTGGAAGCGGCACCCACCCAGAGAACCGGTTGTTCACATATTTGAATCCCACCACTGTTCTCAACCCATATTTTCTCTGCCCCTTCCAAAGAAACCTGACATTGTGCTGTTCAAACACAGATATACCCCCCCCCCCCGTTTTTGACAATTTCAGTTGGAAAATAAATGAAATAAAGAAAAAGATGATGTTAAACCGTCAGACAACCATAGCACATCTATGTTTTTTTAAAAATCCCAGTACTTCCTCCAACACTGGAAAAATGGGCTAAAATCCCATTTTCTCTGGCAATAATATTAATTACTATCACTCACTGCAGTTGTTGGCCACTGATTCTTTCTTTAAGCATAGCAATCAGAGATTTAGTGTTTACATCTGGACTAAATGGAGCAGTGTAATTCAGAGTTGTACATCTTTTTTTTCTGGAAAAACATTTATGATTTTGTGATAACAGCCTTTCTTAAGAGCTTGAATTAGCTTTTTATGCAAAGTTTTGATGGTGCTGAATGGGGGCTATTTATGCAGCCATAACAGCACTCCTCTCTCACATGATCACGGTTGAGGCACTTGGCAACCAATTTGCACTTACAACGGTTGCAGCATCCTGCTGTTATGTTATCACTGTTTACAACCTCCCCTGCTGACTTCCCACAAGCAAAGTCAATGAGGAAACTGACAAAGTATGAGGTCCTGGAGATCTCACACCCTGTAGTGTGCATTGCACCACCTCCCTGCCTGCACTCTGTACTGCATGCCCACTTGGCCACAGCATGCTCTGGCCATGTTCACACCAAGCTGCTGCACCTACCTACTCTTCACCGGTCTGCACCCCATAATACTCATACACACACCCTCCCTTGCACTCCCCTACACAACCATATTCATACTATGCCACAGCAATCTCCCTGCCCAACTATGCTTGCACCAAGCTACAGTACCCATCCCTACCTGCAGGCCTGTTTCTGAACTGCCTACACACAGAAAGGCTTGTCATGACTGGGACTTGCAGTTTCCTGCCGGCTTCTCCACTGACTATGTTTGTTGGGAGACAGCGGGAAGTCTTAAATTGTAATCACATGTGGGTCTCACTTAACAACAGCAACAGGAACTGCCAGGATTTCTGTTGCTAAGTGGTGCACTTACATGATGTCATGCTTTATAACCGCACTGCTTATTGATGGAAATTCTAATCCCAATTAACCGCATTAAATGAGGACTACTTGTAGTTTAAAGCCAATAATGAACACAGAAACCTAAAGATACCATATTAGCACTGGAAGGTTCCTGAAGTAAGGATTCTGAAAATTAAACAAATATCTATTAACTAAAATTCCTGTTATACTAGATGCATAGATGTAATTACTTCTCTGCAATTATTTCTTGAGCATATATTGTACCTTACCCTTCAGTTCAAAGTCCCCAGGACTGAAATACTGTTACCTAAAATAATAAAAACTATACAAACCATGTAATTATTAATACAAACGTCAAACGAGTAACAGAGCAACAGCAACTTTAAAACATATTTTTCGGAGTATTTCAGAAGTGACAAATGAAGTAAAATTATTTTCAACAGAAACTGTATACAAGAACTGAAATTATACTGAAATGTTAATCTGAGATAGGTTATCTTTACCTCTAATTTGGAACCTAAACATGAAACAGCTTCATCATTCAGTTCAAGTTCAAAAAGATGCAGTTTTATCCATTAATGTCATCTAGATATGAATGCAGATTAACTTGTTAGACAACGGTAGAA